ATAATATAGTTTGTGTATCACGTTTCTGTATGTTCTAAGAGTTGTGCTTGATAACAGTTTTACTAATTCAATGTAATTAATTGCTTCTTGTATAGCACTTGCTTGTTTTACGAAGTCTATATTATGTTGGTAAATTCTGATTGCTTCTATATCTTTGAATTGTTGTTTGATTGTTAAGTCAAGGTATTCTGTTAATATGTACTGTAGTTTTACTTTTTCTGCAGTATGCACTAATTTACTGAATTCGTATTTACTTTTTAGATATATTCGGTATTGTAATTCTTTATTTGGGTCCATTAATTAATTGTATTTGTTTAAATATTTCTTCTAGGTGCTTATTTAATTCTGGTATAATTGGTAATTGTTATACTTGTTCTTTGGTATAAAAATTTCATGTTGTGTGATTTTCTGGTTCAAGAGTTTGTAGGTACTGTATTTCGTTCTTATAAATAAATGTTTTTATTTCAATATTCTTTTCTGAATAGTAACTATATATAACTTCTATTAATTTGCTAAGAGATATTTCTATTTCTATTTCTTCAAATATTTCTCATTTAGCTATTTATTTAAATGATTCGAGGTACACAATTTGCTTTTTTTCTGGTGGTCTGTAATGTTGATAATATACTTTCTTTGGATGTATCTGTTGTGCTAATAATATTGCTGATTTTGAGTCAAATATTATTACTTGTGATATTTTTATTATTGATATTCAGTATCTAATTTTTCGTTGTATTTTAACTCTACTTCGTTATTGTGTATAATTGGTATAGTTCCAGTAATATCTTATAGTGTATATTTTAAAGCTGAAATATAGTAGTTCTGTGCTTAAAAAAAGCTTTGAGTCTACTGTCTTCGTACCTTGTTAACCAATTTTTGATTCTATTCTTTCTTCTGATCAAATCAAGAATATATCCGTATTTAAATAAGTTATCAATATTTAAATTCTCATTTTTATTTTCCTTGATACTTTCTTTTTGTTCTTTGATTAATATGTTAATTACATCATTCTGGAGGTACTTGATTTGTTTAAGAATTTTTTTTGTATTATAATCTTTTTTTGATTTAGTTTTATATAACTTATATTCTTGTTAGGTGGATAATA